AGAGAGAGAGAGAGAGAGAGAGAGAGAGAGAGAGAGAGAGAGAGAGAGAGAACAAAACACATTCTCCTTCTCCAGCACTGCCTCTGCCAAGGGCTGTCTCTTGCTGGGTTTCCTCTAGGTGAACCTGCCTGAGACTCTGCCCTGAGATCCAACCCTGGAGAATCTCACTACCTGTGGTGATCTGAATGGGAATGGCCCCCAGAGACTCTGATGTTGGAATACTCAATCCCCGGTTGGTGGAGCTGTTTGGGAAGGATTTGGAGGTGTGGCCTTGTTGGAGGAGGTGTGCCACGAGAGCAGGCATTGAGATTTCAAAAAATGCCCACCATTTCCAATGTTCCTTCTCCCCCTGCCTCCTGTTTGAACATCAGTATGGGAGCTCGCGGTTGTCCCTGCCTCCACGCCTTCACTTCACTGTCCTGGACTCTGACCCTCGGAAACCAGAAGCCCAATTAAATGCTTTCTTTAGTGAATTGTCTTGGTTATGGTTTTTTTTTTTTTCATAGCAAAAGAAAAGTAACTAAGACACTACCCGTCCCCTGCTCCTACTCGGCCATTTTCTCAGACTTTCCCCCAATTAGCATGCCATGCCATAGTACAGCCTTGCAAACTTCCTGCAGAAAAAGCACAGAACATGGTGGAAGAAAAGACACTCAGCAAATCGCTGACTTCATTTGAGACTCAAAAGAAAGGTAGGGCTTTGTCCAGGTCGCTCTGGTGCCAGCGGCAGGGACAGAAAGGAAGGGCCAGTGCCCGGATGCGTGGCCTTCAGTGGGCGCTCCCTGTACCACCTTGTTCCTGGAGCTAGCACCGTATGCTGAAGAGGGGCTGGGGACAATGTTACCACCACAGGGATGGGAACTGGGGAGAAGGGGCTGATGGCAATAAGACAGACCACACCCTCTGCCAAAGCAAATGCATTTCCCAAATATTTGACAGACCCGCCACTCAGCAGCAGCATCGTTCAGTCACTCTTAATGAATGCTGACTTAGTAAACTGTTAGTTTAGGGTGGGTTTTTTTTTTTTTAACTTAAATTCAGTTTTAAACGTAGGATCCTGTTAAATAGCCCAAGTTGGCTTCACACTGGAGCTCCTCCTGTCTTGGCCTGCTGAGTCCTGGGATTTCTGATTCACGCCATCACACCCAGGTAGTCAGCTACTTCCTGTAACTATTGCTATTTGCCATCCCAACCCCCTGCTTCTGTTTCCTTATTCTCGGTGTCATCTTGTGGCCATAGAGCTCTCTGGAACAGAAGGCCTATCTTCGTCATGCTTCTAGAATGTACCTTGTACCATTGGACCTGTCAATCAGAAAGCTCTTTTTCTATTTCCATAGAACATTCCTATTCATTTTTTAAAGCCAACTTAAATGAAAACTTCCTTTAAAAACTCTTTCCAGCCTTCCCAGCAGCTGGCACAGTGCCCTGCTTCCATTTCTGTCAGAGCGTTTATCAATGATGCCCTAACATCCCTGTGCTGCCCAGTACAGGGCTCATTAAATTCTACACTATGGTCTATGGTGTAGACACCTATTCTCTGGTGTCTTAGTGTAAATACTTTACATTGGATTGGATTGTTTTATATTGTATACAAATTATATATATTGAAATTGATATTGTTAGAAAATGCTATACGTATATTTCTAATTGTACTTATACCGTTCATTTAACAATGTAATACAATTTTCTGATCCTTGAATGTTGTTATTACTACCAACTATTAGGATATAAAGAAATGAAAGTTAGTAGTTAGACATTATAATAGAACTTGTAGTCATATTAGGTATGTTTTCAAGATTGAGTAGATATATTTTAGATAGACAGGTTATCTTCAAACCCTTCAGAGATCTATAGAATATGGCATTTAAAATGTTTTAATAATTTAGAAAATTTTTCTTTTTTGCCATGACTATGAGACATGTCAGCTCCAGGCAATACCAATCTACATCAGAGAAAATATGGGCATTAAAAAAACTGCAATTGGAGTTAACTTTCATTGTGGCAAAAGTTAGCCATTGGCCAACACAGTATCCTCGAATCAACTGCTGACAAACAGGACAGACAGGACACGAAACAAAGGACTACTGATTCTTGCCAAAACAAGTGTGGTTATGGCTTTATCAAAAGGCATCTTCTGAGGCCAGGACAATATGGCACCATCCCTGAAGTGGCCTTCGCAATCTGGAAAAGATACAGTGCCCTTTTCTTTGAAGGCAGCTTAACAGGCAGTGGGCCGATGGCTTCTGATGTGCAATGGAACAGCAGCTGAAACAGTTATTCTTGAAGAGTAATTAAGCTCATGCCTCTCAATAGTAGACTGGCATTTAATAGAGGGATGTGGAGAAGAACGGGATGCTGAGATGAAGCCA